AGAACAGAGCCTTAGGATAAATAGTTCAGGGTTTGAGTCTCAGTTTCACCTCTTACTTTGCGCATCTTTCTTAACATCTCCTGCTTCACTTGGTCCTCCACTGCCCACCGACCCCCCCCCCCCGACCCTTGCAAAATGGGTCTCATCAGACCTACTAGAGATTTTCCATGAAGATTAAATAACACAATTGCACAGAAAATTAGCACGATGTTTGGAAGGCACTGAATGAAATCTGAAAAGAAAAGCCTATGCATGTGTCGCATGGACAACATGATAGAATGGTTTGGTCTCAAGTTCCCATATTATTTTTCATTCATTGTTTTCTAAGATGATAAAAAAACAAATTCTGTGGTGGAGGCATGTGGGCATGTGCAAATAGTAAGAAGAGAAAATCTGGCTCTCTCTCTGCTTTCTGCAGGCAGTGCCAGGTAGTCTGCAGAGTAGGTTAGGAGCGGCTCGTGTCACATATGCCTGCATCCCTCAACTTCGTTGTTACTATATTATTAATAACACTTGCTTTGTAGTTTTGCTGAAGGAATAAAATGAGCCAGTATGCAAAGAGCACAGTGTCTGACATAGAAAAAGCCCTCAATAAATGGTAGATGTTCATCGTTATTGCCACCTCAGCCACACCACTACCAATATTCCAACCCAGCTCCAGGACGTCTTTATCAGGTGACTTGTAGCCATGCCCTCGCACTAGCCATGCCCCTGCCAGTCTCTCTGGCATCATGTTGACTTATGCATCGCAAGAAATATATTGCGTTCAGTCGCATGTTTGCAAATGACAGATCATTAAGGAAGCACCGAGAAACTAGGGCAAATCAATACAGAGCGCAAACGGCTGAAATCCCCATCAGATGTTCCCATTGTTTTTACTGGTGCCGGAAGATGTTCAGATGTTTGATTTGTATGTTTGTTTTTATGCTAGTTCTATTAAATCAGTTTGCAGCCTGAAGAATGTTTGCCAGACAAAGAAAGACACATGTGCCATTTAAGAGAGACCTAAAACAGCTGTTGGCTTCAGACACCTCTCTAAATGTGACAGTTTTTTGCTGATGCTAATGCTTCTTTTTGTTCTTCACACTGAATTCTTGTCACTGGGAGTATGGATCTTTGCATGCTTGTTCCAGGCTATATAAAACCTACCAGGGGCTGTTTGCTACATAGAAAGTTTGTGTGTGCACAGGCACTGTAGTCTTACTCCCTTGACAAAGGGGCCATTTCTCTGAGGATGAGCTGCCGGCAACTAAAAATGGAGATGCCTCAGCTACAAATGGGATTCAACAAAGCTTAGTGACTGCGGGCTCAGGTTTTTGAATTGAATAAACTTGCCTGCATTTCCTTCCTGTAGCTCTTCTTGACTTTGTGAATTTGGACAAGAGACTTAACATCTCCGAGCCTCCATTTTCTCATGTTTAAAGCGGGGATGGTAACGATGAATAGGACCTGCCTCACCATGGTGTAAATATTAAGATAAACAAGCCATGTAAAACTCTTAGCCTAATGCCTGACTTACAAGCACCTGACACCTCATAGCTCTTACTATTGTTATTACCCCTTTTTACCTCACATTCGAAGGACACTGACTATTCACAACTGTACCACCCCAGACAAACTCTGATCCCCCCTGGAGCGAGGTTAACCCACATCATGGCATGGCCTTGGCACTCCATAAGGGATCAGGTGTCTAGCCAGGACCCACAGCAGCATAAGAAGCAGAGAGACTGCAGAGACAAATACCATCCCCAGAGTGTACTAGTCTGATGGGTACAGGACGCACAGAGCCGTCCCTGCTAAGATTGAAGTTCTTTGCTCAAAACCACACCTTTGTACTCTGTTTGCATATTTGTATGTATTCGCATCTGTATTGCATCTCCCTCAACTCCTACAGCCTTTTTACAAAATGCCTATGTCTTTTTTTTTATTTCCTTATGAAATTTTATTTTAAGTTTATTTATTTTTTAAAATTTATATCCAAGTAAGTTAGCATATAGTGCAATAATGATTTCAGGAGCAGAAGCCAATGACTTCATCCCCTACGTAATAACACCCAGTGCTCATCCCAACAAGTGTCCTCCTTAATGCCCCTTGCCCATTTAGCCCATCCCCCACCCACAACCCCCACCCCCAGCAACCCTCATTTTGTTCTCTATATTTTAAGAGTCTCTTATGGTTTGTCCCCCTCCCTGTTTTTATATTATTTTTGCTTCCCTGCCCTTATGTTCATCTGTTTTGTATCTTAAATTCCACATATGAGTAAGGTCATACGATACTTGTCTTTCTTTGACTGACCAACTTCACTTAGCATAATCCACTCTAGTTCTGTCCACGGCGTTGCAAATGGCAAGACAAAATACCCACTTACACAGAGGCTGCATGATGTCTCAGAATCAGCATTGGGGTCATAACCTCCTAAACTCTTCTGTGACTGTGGGGAGGCCACTTTAGCCTCTAGGCCTCAATTTCTCTGTTTTCAGAAAGAAAGGCAGTATGTCCGATGTGTAGAAGCAGGTGTCAGTTCTGCCTCTTGCTAGCTCTGTCACTCTGGATGGGCTATTTGATCCCTGTAGGTTTTATTTCCCTCATCCACCAAATGAGGCCAACATAGCTTGCCTCATACATGTAAGGATTAAAAGAGATAATAGACATAAATCAACTTGGCCTCATAAATGATCGCTCTTCCTGTTTGTTATGATAGCAATAGAATTTGGTTCTGTGGTGGACCATCTTGGGCTGTCTCTATCCCCAGATGATTAAATTCCTCAGGGACAGGTACCACATACTGCTCATGGATTCATCCCTCCCTTGAATCTTACACCCCTCACTAAAGTGCAGGTTAATTTGTTATGAATTGCACTGACAGCCGGCCGACCACGCACCCCCGGCTGGCCTGACTTGCCTAGGTTCTTGGCCTGCAGCTGGAAGCAGTGGGTCCTCTTGCAAAAATGGAGGGGGTTACCATCGTTACAGACAGTGGCTCTCCCCAGAGGCATCATCCAGCCGCAATCCCTTGCCAAAGTGGCAGGTGAATCACAGGATTCCTGGAGAGCATTTTCCACCTGATTGGCAGCCCCAGAGACCCATGGAGCTGTTGCCTGGGCTGAGAGATCCCTGCTGAACTCTGCTCAGCTGGAGAACAAGAATGTCCTTGGAGCTTCCCTGCTGCCTCTGCGGCTGGCTGTATCGGGTAGCCCACAGTCTCTGGGACCTTGTGGCACGCTCTTGTGCCTTACCAAGAACCAGCCAGGCCCCTGTCTGGCCAGCCTGTGCCCATGTGCCCAGCAGAACACGCTCCCCACTCCCTCCAACAGGCCACAAAGGCTTTCTTAATAGACCGTGGCAGTCTCATTTGTAGACTCTATTCATCTAGCAGCCAAGAATGATCTGTCCTGATGCTCCCTCTCTCCTCCCACCCGCCTTTCCTCTTTCTCTCTCCCCCACCCACCCTTCCTTTGGCCTAGAGAGTGATTTGTCTGTGTTATGGGTAGGCCTGACAAACCATTCCACATTAGCAGCTGAGATGTTGTTTGAAATGGGAAAATTGCTGGCAAACTGCTCCATTAGCGGTTCCAGTAACAAATACTCTCTTCCCCCAATGAAGATGAGATCGCAGAGGCACAAATTAATACGACTGTCTCCCCGACTCTGCAGCGGGGATTACTCTTCAAGATGAATGGGTTCATCCCAGCCAGAAATGTGCAGCCACTGGATGTAGCCTCTGAGGGAGCCACTTCCGCCCGTCTGTTCCTTCTGCTCCCCCCACCCCCCCGCCCCCGCGCACACCTTTTTTTGTGTCTTCCCAGCTGAGAGGTTAGGGAACATCCATGCCAAATGAGAAGGTGATGACAAGACCCGTGCCTTGGAGACAAGGGAGATGGACGAGAAGGAGATGCTGAGTCCTCAGCCGAGGCCTGAGGGCATCACTCATCACCTCTAATAGAGGGCCCTGCCTCCTACTCAGGCCTGTTTCCCACCACACCTGTTCTTGGTAACAGGAAGTCACCTGAGAGGCGAGAGAATAGAGATGCTTACTCACTTCTCTTCAAGAAAGTTCTCGGCCCTGGGCCTGGGGCCTATGACATCTCTTGTCATTCCAGAGTTACAAGAGAGGAAGGTCTTCAGGAAAGTCTGTAACATAGTAAAGCCACAGATTCTAGCAGCATCCCAGGGGAGTGGTCCGGTCGGGGCCCCTAGGGTCCTCAGGGTGTCGGAGTCAGTTTGATGAATGGCAGGCTGGGAGCCTAAAGACTTGAAGGCCATTTCTCCAGCATATTAGAACAGCCCATTGAAAAACCCAGAAACAAATAATCAAATGTTATTTATTGTATGTCATATTCCTGAAACTAATATTATATGTCAGTTATACCTTCATTTTTAAAAAAGCCAGGAATGAAGTCAGCCATTGTCATTTCTGCCTGTACAATACCCCAGTGGCAGTGTGGTTGAGTTTTTTTTTTTTTAATTTTTTTTTTTTAACGTTTATTTATTTTTGAGACAGAGACAGAGCATGAACGGGGGAGGTCCAGAAGAGAGGGAGACATAGAATCTGAAACAGGCTCCAGGCTCTGAGCTGTCAGCACAGAGCCCGATGCGGGGCTCCAACTCACGGACTGCGAGATCACGACCTGAGCCGAAGTCAGACGCTTAACCGACTGAGCCACCCAGGCTCCCCAGTGGTTGAATTTTTGACAGAATGGTGACATGCTTCCAGGGCAGATGGGCATTGCTGGCCCATAGGCCACCTCTTTTTCTTCTCTTTACCCCTTTGACTTTTTCATCATGCCAGTTACTTCCCACAGCTTTTGTGAAGAAGACATCTGCCTTCAAAGACCACTTAGAATAAGCAAGAACCAAAATCCTGCAGAAGTTTGCCCAGTGTCCCGCAACCAGTATCGGGTGCCACGTGATGGGAAGGGCCGTCCTGTCCCCCAAGGCCCTCAGCAACTGCCTGTTGACAGGTGGATGGTTAACTGACTCTTCTCTGCTCTGTTTCCCAGACGCCTGGAACAGAACTCCATCAAATCCATCCCTGCTGGAGCCTTCACCCAGTACAAGAAACTGAAGCGAATGTGAGTTTCCCCTGGGGAGGAATGAACCAGATGTTTTCAGTCTGGGGGGTAATATGCCCTATGTAGTAGGCGACCTGCCCAGATGACAGCCTGCATCACATTCCTCATGGAGAGCCCAGTGTCAGACCTGGAATGCTTTCCTGAGATTGCGAGGTAAGGTTCAGGAGTGTTGCTTTCAGATAGTGAGGTGTAGCGATGTAGACACCTCAGAGCTGAGGGCCTCTCCAACTAGAGCGAAGTAAAATTATCTAGGTGAGAGGTGCAGCTGCATGGGCCTAAAAAAGCCCATACTACCATGTTTATGGTCGTCTGGCTTTCATGATGTGGACCTGAAGTAGGAACTTCAGTAAAAATGAGATGGCAATGGCCTTGTATCAATCTCCAGCACCCTAACATGTTGGCTGTGGTACATGCCTACAGCTGTGCACACATTCACCTAACAAAGAGTGGCTGTCCACCCCCTGCAAGGAATTGCAGGGTCTGTGGATAGAGCATGCTCTAAAATAAAGTCTGCTCTCATGGAGCTCACACATTTGAGTGGGCAAACACAGAAAAGAAACAAATATCAGAAATTGCTAAGTACTAGAAAGCGAAACAAAGGGCGGGCCCACGAAAGCCTCTCTGTACAGGTGATCCAAATGAAGGGTGGGAATGAGGAGCTCTTGAGAGAGAGCGCAGCTGAAAGGCCCTGGGGAGCGTGCATGGATGGGTTGCAGAGCAGGGAGGGGGACAGAGGCAGGGCTTGTGTTGGAGAGGTGGGAAGGTAGAGGCCAGATCCTGTGACCCTTTAGACCATGACAAGGACTTTCTGTTCTAAGTGAGATAAGAAACCTTGGGCCCTTCCTTATTCTCCAACCACATATGACTTGCCTGTGATTATCCCCACCACCCCCATTACCGCTGCATCCGGTATCACTGCTACCACTACATCCTATCAGTCCCTGGTTACGCCAGTGCTGCCATTCCTTCCCTCTCACGGCTCCACTGACAGCATCCTGTACCATGGTCCTCATCCCCGCCATTGTGGTGATGTCATCATCACTGCCTTCCCCAGCCCCATGACTGCCCTGAGCACGACTCTGTGAGTCACGCAGAGCAGGGCACTCCGAGGGGACACCAGTAGGATTCGGAAATGGCCCAGCCATTGCCAGCTTGGATATTTAGAATCTGGGAGGGAGATTCCTTTCCCTTTTCTGAGCTGAGAAATCATTTCTTACAGTCCAGTAATCAAAATGCTGCTCTTATCCCAGTTACTTACTGTCTCTGGCCTCCCATGGAGGAAAAAGAGAGCAGGTGGAAATATGCACAGGCTCAGGGCGCCTGGGTGGCGCAGTCGGTTAAGCGTCCGACTTCAGCCAGGTCACGATCTCGCGGTCCGTGAGTTCGAGCCCCGCGTCGGGCTCTGGGCTGATGGCTCAGAGCCTGGAGCCTGGAGCCTGTTTCCGATTCTGTGTCTCCCTCTCTCTCAGCCCCTCCCCCGTTCATGCTCTGTCTCTCTCTGTCCCAAAAATAAATAAACGTTGAAAAAAAAAATTAAAAAAAAAAAAAAAAAGAAATATGCACAGGCTCGATCTTGTTCCCTTCCACTGAAGGCTGATTCATCGGTTTCCCTTGAGTAGGAGGGCCTACATTGAAGAGGTTAAGTGTCTGCTGACTCCTTTTTATGTTAAAAATAAACATCCCCAAGAAACAGTGGCATTGGTTGGCTTTACCCTCAGATCTTGGGAAGGCAACTTCCCATCTCCCTGGAAATCCAAACCAAACAAGATTTTCTCCTGGTACAATTCCAGAAGTGGAAACCAACCTAATGAGCCAGCCCTGAGCACATACTTTTCCCCTCCCCTTGGCAGCATTCTTGCTGGAGGAGCTGTATAAATATAGGCCTTAATATTTAAAACCTTAGGCCATTAATCTCCTGGTCTCCCTGCTTCCCCAGCTCACTCCATACGCCCCCCCCCAATTCATTTTTAAAGCCTAACTTGATTATGCAGCCAGATAGTAATTTCAGTGAAAAATGACAAGTTCAGTCACTGCCCCAACCTATATCTCTTGCATGATTTAAGTTACTGCTCTAATTTTTTGTGAGGTCCAGGTAATTTAGAGCTTGGCTATGTTTTACTGTCCTTTCTTCATCCCATTGGAGTTGCCATGATCTGTGCATTCAAAATTCATAAGACCTTCTCAGTCACGACCTGGGAAGTGAATTTAATTTTTGATCACTTCTGATGTTACTGATATTTATTATGATGCCCCCTTGCCCGCCCCCCCCCCCAAAGGGATGGCGGTAGGGAAAAGAGACCACTTACAGATTTTTCCAGCTAACAGAACCTCACAAATCAAGATGGAAGTATGACGGCTTGGGAGAAATAGGGCCCCTGGTCAGAATGGATTTTAAAACCCTAAGTGTGAATTCCTCATAGGTGTACATGAACCAGTCTCTCTCTCTCTAACAGAGAGAAGTTTCCCCTCAACTATGAATGAACCACACCCTCCTCCTCTTTCTAACAACAACAACAACAACAACAACAACAAAAAGCCCCTGGAATGAATGACTTTGTCCCTATTTCTCGTGTCCAGCTTAGTAGAAAAAAATACTTCCAGGTAAAAACTAGTATCAAGGTAGAGCCATTTGAGAGGAGAACAGAGGGCACTAGAGAGAAGCCCTCAGTTGACAGGGTTGGTTAACTGATGGCGCTGACACATGGGGACCAGAGCTGTGTGGTGTGGCCGGAAGGGCGTGTTCTTTCGTCTCCATGCTCTGAGGTAGAGTAGAATCCACAGGTGCCAGTACCTTCCCACTTGAGCCTTGCCCGCATGGAATTTGCCACCTTGGCTCCGAAGAGTCTAGAAAGTCCGCTGCCTCTTGTCCATCGAGTTTGTAAGCCCCAGGGGACTGGGGTGGGTCAGAGACCAACCAGGCCATAAAATGCTGTGGCCTAAAGTATGACCCAGGGATTACGTGCATGGGAATCACATAGAGATGTGTTACCTATGCAGACTTTTTAGCTCCCTTCCCCAGGCTAGCCAAAGCAGACTCCCTGTGGGTGCACTTTGAAAACCATTGATCTATAGTGACCCAGATGCCTGGAGTCAGCTCAGGGCCACCTGCTATGGACCGGGAGGGGTCAAGCATGGAGACTGGTAGGCGGCAGAAGCCTTTCCCAGCCTGCCTTCTGTCCAGTGCCACTACCTTTTGCATCCATCTTTGTGAAGTGAGGGGAGACTTGAGATACCAGCCCTCTACCTGAAGAGCCATGTCAAGTCCCCTCTGGCTCTGGGTCCTTGCCCTCAGAGGGTTGCTGTTTCCTTCCTGCAGTATTAAGAACTAAGATGAAGTGACCCTCCAGGAGCAGTTCCCAGTTAAACTATCACTTGTCCAGTTCTACTCTCCATCATCTCCAAAACCACAAGACATCCCTCCTGTGCTGCAGAGAGGAGTGCATCCAAAAGGCTAGCTGTGGACTGAATACTACTTTGCCCTGACAAGGCTAAAGCAGAGGACTTTCCCTCCACCCTACGTCCCAGAACTTCCTCTTGCATACTGGGGGGTCTCAGTAGCTTGAAGAGACGTCCCGTGATCAGGAAAACAAAATAAAAAACCCAGGCTTGCTCACTAGTCTGATCAGAGCACAGACCCCGCACGCCTGCCTGGAATGCCTTGCTAGGCAGGCAGGCCAAGGGCGAGCAAGATTAGGATAATCCAGGGCATTTGCTTGTTAAGACCCTTCTACAAAAGTGGAGCGCCGAAGAAAAGCCTGGTGTAAACTGACGAGTTTGTGAGCACAATCTGTGGATTTGTAAGAGGCGATCTTGCCAGCTAAAGGGATAAGCTCGACAGCTGTGCCTAAGAAGCCTTAACCTGTGAAATATCTTTCAACTTACCGGCTTCAGAAGCAGGGAGGGAAGAGAGCAGAGGCCTAGGAAAAGTGGTTGCGCAACGCTTTAGAAGGAAGGGAGAGACAGACCGGGGGAGGATGCTTAAGAGGCTGGGGGCTGGGGTGTCTGGCCTCGCTGGAGGCAGTTGCTTAAGGATCTGCTTAGATGTGCTTTCTTCTCCGTATCCCCTTGTCTCCTCCTCATTGACCCTCCAAGACCTCAGCTCTCTCTCTTCTGAACGAAACCAAAGATCCATTGATTTATTTTGTTAAAGGAAAAGAACTGGAGAGGTACGTTGTCTCTGGAAATTGGAGCATCTCACCTTCCAGTGACAGGAGCCCAGAGGCCGCCCCTGAGCTAATGGCTCAGAACGTCTCCCCTCTCAGAACTGAGGACCGGGTGCTCACAAGTCACTGGGACGCAGGAAAGGGGACAGCCTCTGGGCTTTGGGGAGGAGCCAGGTCAGGGAGATTCCTCTGCTCCAGCCCGGCCAGCCAGAGGAGCTGCCTTCTATTACACAGCATCCCTCTCATCCACGTTACCCCAAAGCCCTAGGCATCACTCCCCAGGCTTGTGCCTTTCTGAGGAGCACTCCAGTGACAAATCCACATCTCAGAGGTATCCCGTGAGAATCGCGTGATGTGCTTACGTCACACGACCTGAAGGATGCCCTGAACCAGACAGAGACTTAAGTCCCTGCTCAAAACCTCTTTTCAGGTCAGGAAGGAAAGGTCACTGGGGAGGTGAAATGACTCAGGACTATTTGGGGGAAAAAATAAGCATTGGCTGAGGCATGAGACAAGAAGATGATGCTTGCAAGAACCCTGGCCTGTGTTTGGGTGAGGCAGGCTTCTGCTTCATTTATGCTATAATTGCTTGGTAATGCGACAAGGCCCTAATGTGACTGAGTGCAGTCTTCCCTACAAAGTGAGGGCTCACATGTGCAAAGCCATATGTCAAAGTCAGGGTGCCGTGGGTGGGCGTTCTTTGAAAGCCAAGAAGAGTGAAAACATGTGGTATATTTTATGAAGAGACAGTTGAACTGATGGTCTTTAAGCCCCTTCTCTTGTACGATGAATACATAAATTGATTAATTCTCACCATTTTCAATATCTGAAATGCTTGACTCACACTTAAGAATGGTCGTATCACACCTTTGAGCTATGTTCTCAGACTCTCCCATTAATGTTTTTTAGAGACATCAGCAAGAATCAGATATCAGACATTGCTCCAGATGCCTTCCAGGGTCTGAAATCACTCACGTCGCTGTAAGTGGGGAGCAGAGTCATGGGGAAGTGGTGGTGGGGGGGGAATGTGTCCATATTTTTCAGGAGGTGTTTATCAAGGCTTTATGTTCCCTTACACACTTGTGGCAACCTGGTAAAAGAAACAAATATTTCTTCAGGGGAAATTGATCTTAGGGAATATTTCTACAACCCAAATGCATTATTTTTATTGATTAAGTGCCCAGCAGCCTTCCTAGCTATTGGCTTCTAATTCAAATGCATCTTCAGCTCTACCCACATGTCCCCCTCCTGCCCTGCGTGCCTCAGCAGCGCTCTCTAGGGAGATGGAAGGACAGAATGGTAATGTATGTTTATTACCAACGTGCCCATTTCTCCCAACTATGTGACCTTGTCAAGGGAGGAGCTAATTTTCTTCCCCTGATTTTCAGGCTTTTTCTCCAAACCAACCTCATGGCCTTTGTTCTGAGAAAGCACACTTGCCATCCTGTAAAGGCTTCTTTTCTTGGGTTTTGCAACCCTAGGGCAGCCTACTGGATGGAACCACAGCCTCATCCACCAGAGAGTCAGAGACCCACAGGGGCAAGAAGGCATGGGGCTTTGTCCTGTGGCTCACCGTGTGGCATGGGTAATGTGACTTGAGCCTACTGTGTATTTTCCTCACAGACAAAACGAGGATAGTGATACCTTTTCTGCCTACCACATATTCAATGGTGACCACGATTACAATAATTGGCAGCACTTATTAAGCACTCACTGTGTGCCAGATACTGTTCTAGGAGTCTTGCAATTTTAATCCTGATGACAACCTAATACACAGACTCTACCCACTTCCTTCTTTTACAGTAGAAGGAATCGGGTGATCTAAGCCCCACACAGACAGGGACTTTTCTCTGTTTGGATCCTGGCTGAATCTCTGGCACCTCAAACAGTACCTGGCACATGATAATTGCACAAAGCTAAAGTGTGTTGAATGAATGCAATTATCTGAAATCCACAACTGGGAGATGCAGGATTGGATCCCAAGCAGTATAACTCCAGGACCCATGCTCTCAATCCCCAATGCTATGCTGCCTCTCGAGATAATATGAAAGAAAAAGTATATAGTAAGATACAAGAAAAGCATCCTCAGTTGATATTATTTATATCATTTGGTGACCTGCCCACTGAGTAAGAGTGAGGACGCTCAGAAGCAAGCTGTCAATGCTTCCTTCTCTCTGTAACCTGTTTGCTTAATTTATGAGTGGGCAGGTAACAAGATCCACATTTGTCCCCACCTGGCCCCATCCCACTGGGAAGGGGCTGAGGACAGGGAAGTGTCTTGATTCAGCTGTTGCCGGCTGCTTGCAGAGTAAATTAGTTTCATTTATCGAACAGAACATCTGGCTGGGATATCAAAGACAGGATTGTATATGAGATTAGTGTCTGCGTATTATGCCGAAGATCACAGAGGAGCAGGGAGAGTGGCTGTGTGCTGCCAGGATCCTGTCCCTGCCCCCACCCTCCTATTCCCCTTATCTAGTTTCCCTCTGCTGGGACTTGGGAACAATCCGAGGACAGTGAGATGCTTCTGGTCCTACAGGAAACAAAATTCAGAATCTGTTTGTCATATGTGAAATGGCATCCCACTAGCCAGTTCCAAAGTACACACTGGGGCATTAAGTGAAGTGCCCCCTGACCTCTAATGTATGCATTCATCCTTCCAAGTATGCCTGCTAGGTACTGCATCATCTTACAGGCATGGAGAATGTGGCAGTGAACTGGACGGACAAGACCCTCGGTCTCATGGAGCTTGGAACACAAACATACCCAATCCAAACTCACCAGGGGCCAAGCTAAAGGGCAGGAAAGCCTTGCCCGTACTCATTCATTTATTCTTTCAACAAATACTGTGCTGAACCCTGTTCAGCTCTCAGCTCTAGGGACCCTGCCATGAGCAAGCCACATAATATCGCCACATGCATGGAGCCTACGTTCAAGTGAGCTGAGAGGTAGGGGCACAGAAAATGTTTAAAATAAAGAAATACCTGAGTAGTAGAACATGACATAATGAAAAGTAATGAGGAAATAAAAATAAAGTGACAGGTGGTGAAAAACATTAAAATATTCTGGAGAAACTTCCCAAGGATGAGATGTTTGCGCTCAGATATGAAAGGCGTGAAGAAGGCAGTCAAGGAAAGATTTTGGGGGAAAGCCAGGTGGGTCTACACCCAGATTGCTCCACAGTAGACCCACAGCCCTCCTCAGTCTGCCGGAGGGTGGTTTGGACCCACGAGGTTAGAGCTGTCCCATAGGGAGGTCTGATGGGTCATGTGAGGATCCCCTGCCCCAGTCCCTGGCCCCTCCGCCCCACCAGCTACTGCTGCACCACAATTTCTGACATCAGCCAAGACAAGCAGACAGGGACACTACTACATTTGGCACAGTGAGCAGGGGGACATTCATATGAATTACAAATTGAGCCTGAGCCATCATGCTGACTTTTATTTACTCATTAATTTGTTGAAACATTAATGAAACCCACCCGCAGGCTGAGTGAGACACTCACGCTTTTTCCTGGTGGTGTCTGGAAAATAGGGGGTTTGGTTTAGCATTCCCATTTCCTGTTTCCCCACCCTAATATTTTGTCTCCTCAAAGACCTATAACAGCCTGAATTTGCAGTCTGAGTGGGAATTGGATATTGCATTCATTCAGGATACTTCAGGGCCCAAGAGGGAATTGAAGGGGGGAAAAAACAAAAAAAACAAAAACCAACCCTCCCAAATCTCTCCATCTCAAAGGAGGCTGGGCCCAGAAGAAGCAGTCTGTGTCGTGGATGAGAGCAGAGAGCGGCCAGCAGTGTCTTTAGCACCTACATGGATGGCCAACAGGACCCCCTGGGCGCTGCGCTGGAGAAGCAGACAGTAGAATTCTTCCCCAAGCGCTCCCAAGTCACCAAAGCCCAGCCCACCAATAGGAGGCGCAGTATGAGGGACCTGTACACCTACTAGAGAGGAGAGTAAAATAATTCAGAGTTTCTTGGTTCCTAGAGCTCAAAGACTAGGCAAAGGCGCTGGAGTGTGGGGGCCATCACTCTGAGGTAACAATTCCTTGCTCTCCAGTTTTTCCTGTGAGCCAGTCTTTGACTCTGCGGTCCCTGTGCCATCTGGATAGGACCCCCAAAACTCAAAGCCCTGCCTAGAGGGATGATTAAAGAACTCAGCTCAGGAATTCCTAGGATACAACGGGATATTAAAAGGAAACGTTCTGTAGGCTGGGCTCAGCCTGATCAATATCCATTGAAGACAAGAAGACACAGGGCCGGCCAGCTTCCTACACGTCTTATTTATTGCCGAGGTGTGAGTCATATTAACAGCTCAGGGAGACACTACAAGGGGACCGCTGCGCCCTATTGTGGATTATTTATTAAGCTGGGCTGCCCAGTAATGAAACAGGATGGAGCTGATTTCTCCTTGCCTCCCAGACAGCCTGTCTCTGCAGCCCCTGTGGCGCTTGCCTGCTGTCTCACTGGTAAGGAGGAAGGGTAAGGCCGGCCAGGGAAGGAGATGCTCTGAGAAGCCCCACCCTCCTACAGGAGTTGGCAGAGGCGATGGCCTCTCACTTGAGTGGGCTTCAGTGGCCTCGCATCACAGAGACTGCTGTCTTCTCTTTTCTAGGGTGCTGTATGGAAACAAGATCACCGAGATTGCCAAGGGACTGTTTGATGGGCTGGTATCCCTACAGCTGCTGTGAGTAGGCATATTGTCACTATGTATGTCTCTAGGAATGTCTACTGGCTCTTCACCTGCAGACTTCGAGCCATGCTCAGTACAGTTCTTTTGACTTTACACACACCAAAAGGGGGGAGGGGATTCTGAGCTGTCCACCCCACACTTCCACCACCTCTTTTTGATGGAAGGACAGCCAGGGAGTTGGCAGAGGGAGACCAAGGTCAATGTGAACAAACCTACATGATACATTACAGCTCAGGAACCTGGACGGGGCATGAGTCACTAACCATAGGTCTGGAGGCTAGAAATTAAGGCTGAATGGAATCCTACAAGGGGAAGCATCTTGCAGGAGCATGCTAGGAATTTAGGGAACTAAAACATTCACACCTTATTCCGATAAAGCTGAAACAGCTGCTGAAACACATGTGACCTTGAAGAAGGGTCGGGGGTGGGATGGTGAAATAATTATAGAAGAACATAATCAGTCACCAATATGACTCTATCTGGGTAAGATATAGCTGAGAGGGTAAGAGTTTATTTAAATATTTATTAAAATTTTTGTTAATGTTTATTCAATTTTTGAAAGACAGGTAGAGACAGAGCACAAGCAGGGGTGGGGCAGAGAGAGAGGGGGACACAGAATCCGAAGCAGGCTCCAGGCCCTAAGCTGTCAGCACAGAGCCTGACGCAGGGCTCAAACTCACGAACCGCGAGATCATGACCTGAGCCGAAGTTGGATGCTCAACTGACTGAGCCACCCAGCCACCCCAGAGTTTATTTAATTTAAAGGAAGACTTGTTGCCTCAAATTTTAAGCTCTAGGATTATTTATTTGCATTTATTTCATTCTGGTCATTTGAGCTTTAAATGTTTGAAGAAGATAATTGAACTCTGATGTGGAAAGGCAAGGAAAGGAATTTAGCTTGTCATATATTTTAAGATTCTATGATGGGGGAGAGTTATCTGTAGTTTGTGATTAGGTAGCCGTGGGATCTACGCGCATGTGCCGTGGGCATGGGAGTACATGTGCGCACATACACATCCTGCTCGGTGACCATCACAATTCCTAGGAGTATAAGGAATTGATCTCGAGTATCCTGGGAACACTGGAGAATGCCAGGTCTCAGAGAGGTAAATGCCTTGCCCTCAATCACACAGCAAAATAGGTGTGGAAACTGGAGAAGAGTTTACATGGCCCTGTGCCTCAGAAGGCTCTCAGCCTTCCAATAGAGGTGTATATCTGAGTAAAGATGAGTGAGTGAGCGTGTGTGTCTTTGTAAAACTATCTCCCAAGTCACAGGCAGTGAGGAAGGGGCCCAGGGCCTCCCGACTTCCTGTGTGCAGTTAAACAAAGCTGCAGCAGGAATTTGCAGACCAGGTAGGCAAGCTGGGTCTCCGGGTGGGTGGGAGAGGAAGGCCCGGTGACTCCCAGAGACTCTTCAAGAAAGAGGAAATGAGATTTGTCCTCAGCCTTTACCTTCTCACATCTTAACTCCCTCCCCTTCCCATGTCCTGTAAGACTCAGGCCTGGACGGTTCTCCTAAGACAATGCAGTCATGTAAATCATGCCCAGCTAGTTTCCAGGCAGCATGTCCATCTACAAGCAGCAGTCAGGTTTGTTTCAATGAAGCTGAGAGCAAGAGAAAGAAGATTCTTTTGTGTCTTTTCTTCTCTGTATCTCCTCTCACCTCCATCTCCACGTCTGTCTCACTCTGAATCTCTGTGCGGGCATCTTTGAGTTCAGAGGTCCCAGCCCTTGGGTGAGCCTTTAAAGCTATTTGTTACAGTGACCCACCAGGGCTCTGCAGGGAGCTGGGTGTTTCACAGATGGTATTCTTTGCTTGTAGCAAAGAAACTAAATCGTAACCACCTCCATAAGGCTAGTTAACTGTAGCTATTAATCCCTTGAAAGAAGAGTAACAGTAGCATTGGCGTTGAGGTAGATTTGGGGGTGGTTGTGTTGTACTGGGCTGGGGTGAGTATCCTTTTACAATCTGCGTGTCTAGTGTAGACAGAAAAATGTCATTGCATGCATTAAGGAGAAATCTAGCGTGCATCAAAGTGCCTAGCAGAGCGCATGGCATGTTGCAAAGATTCAATAAATGCATGGGTTTGGGGGCAGTTTATTTCTGGGGGGGGTGCATATTTTTTAAAAAAGGAAATGTCTCCCAGCTTGGAGCAGACAGCAGTGACGATATTAATAGAACTCACAGGATTTGCATGGGCCAGGAACTCTAGTTTAATCTCACCAAAATTTTGAGCAGATGGAATGGAATAGCTGGGAGTAAACTAGGAGTAAAGACAAAGCATCCCTGCCTTGCGTGTGACCAGGAGTTGACACAACTCAGGCAAGCTTGCTCTCCAGAAAGAAGCAGCAACTGCAGCCGTCATTGGGCTTTGACCTGCCGCTGAGCTGTTGGAAAGCAGGTCCTGATTAGATCTAATTTAGCGTCCAGCCCGCTGTAGATTGGATTTCTCCTCGTTAGACTGGAGACACTCTGATAAGAAGGCTCTGATTAGAATACCCTGGTAGTCTGGGTAATTTCCTCTCCTTTGACTCCAAGGCTTTTTGTAAGAGGTTCGTGTTTATTTCTCTCTCCCTGTTTCTCAAATTATTGGTGCATCACAAAGCCAAGCTGTCTCTGCCACGTGAAGCGATCTCGGATATTTCCTCTCTGGCACAACTCACGGTGTTGTCGGTAGTAAAGGGGGTATATTGTAGTTGTCCTGCCTGCGCCCCCTTGTCCCATTGTTCCACATTTTCCAGCCATCCTGCCAGATTTTCCCAGGCCCTGCATGTACTCAGTCCTCCTGGGTCCTGTTCTTGAGATGCTTATTGCAGCAGATGGTCAACACTGAGAATAGAATATCTCAGGCTTCAGAGTTTCTTGGAGGCCACCAAAAATGGGCTACATGGAAACACTTAAAAGTCCTGGGAATGATCCCCTAAACCCGATGCCCTGTCCTCTGGGTGTCAGCCTCCAAAGAGTCACCTCCTTTTGTTTAAGTTCCAGAATTTTAGAGGTCAAAGGAATGTCAGGGCTCCAAGCACAGTCTCCTACCCAGCTAGTGCAGAAACCCCTCCCACGCCCTCTGTGACAAATTTTTCTATCTGTTCTTGCTGATGGTGTCTGTGATAAGTCATCATTGTGTACTTAGAAAGTTAGGCAGTTCTTTCTTATACTAAAGCTCAGTAATGGCTTCTGGGGAAACTCAGAAAAGGCTATTCTCAAAATCTTCAAAGGTTTCAAAATAACTAGTATGTCTCCCTGTAATTAATCCTAAACAGGTTCCGTTCCTGCAGACATTCATGGTATAAACACACATTCATTGGTCACTAGTAACAGTCCTTATTTATCTTTGGGGGTGTGCGTGGTGGTCTGTATGCCCATCCCTCCTTAAAACAGAGTGCTGGGAAGCGAGTCCCACACCCATTTGGACAAGAAGTATGTTAGACACTCCCTGCTAATGTGCTGAGAACTGAAATATCCCATGTGAAGATGTCTCAGAATGTAAGGTTAGGACAAGATATGTCACATGCTCCCAGGTCCAGGGATGGGAGCAGCCGGATTACCAGAGAACTGACCCTTCTCCTGGCTGTGCCCATCCCTTTCCTCACCAGAAACTTTAGCTCAGAGGTCGACCTCTCCCAAAACAAGAAAAGCCATCAGTGCGTCTCTAGAGCCATCACTTTCCCCTCTGACGGGCAGCTGCAAGGTGTGCTGTCCCAGCTCCCCCAGGAAATAAAGAGCATTCATTTATTGCTCATTGATTGCATGGCAGATGCGTAGGAAAGTGGCCCGAGTAGGGCAGGCGGTCCTTTGAGGTAGAAGCTTTCACGTAAATGCTGGGCACGGTCAATGTTAAGCCTGCTCCAGGAGGTCTGAACCCAAACCAGACTGCCTTTGGGCTGGAATAAGTTAAGACAACCCAGGCACCTGTTGTTTGATTTTCTTGGAAGGCAGACAAGACTCTTTGAGAATCTTGGAGTCTGCCAAGCAACATGCCAATTACAGGGCAGTGAGCAAAACTCCACCCCCGTAGCTCACTTTTCCTCACCAGCTGTTTCGCGAGTATTACTGCTGCTGCTAATTACTTAATATGCTCCAGAACCCGTGCCAAAGCAATGTTATGTGCTTGTATGCTTCTCTGATCTATGCAACAGTGCTAAGAGGAAGGTATTGTGAAAAGGCCCATTTTACAGATGGGGAAACTGAGGCATCGAAAGGTTAAGTAACATGGCCATTGTCTTTCAGCGTGTAAGTGACGGAGCGTTGGCATCCAGGCAGGCTAATTCTAGAGTCCGTGCAAGAGACTTCTGCTTCAGACCCTGTCACAGGCAGATCTGCAGAACTAGTTCTGTGATCCATAGAGCAGGAGTTCCTCACAGGCTCGTGCCAAGGAGGAGGTACTGCTGAACCGACTGTTTCCGGTTCCTTTCGTTATGCCTCAGTATCCGTCACAGGCTGCTGTCTCCCTGGGACTTCCTCTGGCCCCTTGTCATCCCACTAACCCCTGTGAGAGGGCATGAAGGAGCTGCCCGTCTGTAAAGACTGGGTTGAGGGCTGATGGTGAGAACTCCCCAGCAGTGGAAGCAGCCTTACTTTGTGATGCACTTTTGAGGGAGGGCTTCTTCCCTTCCTTGTGCGCCCGGGGCTTCCCAAGTGAGGCCTGCAGGGAGATGTAAAATCTGGAGTCATCCCATGCTTGGCCATTGAGTGAATGATTCACCCCTCTTAAAGGACCAGTTGGTAACCAGAAGGCAAATGACCACCCTGGTAGCTGTTGAGGGAGGGAAGGAGCAAGCCAGGTCACCCTAGGGGAGGCCTTTGATCCCCCAATAGCAGGTGATGGCTGCCGTGTCCAGTCTCTCAGAATCTCCGCTTCCCTCTGCTTGCACCCTGTTCCTACAGTTCTCCTCTGTCCGTGGACTCCAGGGAGGTCCTGTTTTTCAGACAGGCCATCCAATGGCATTGCTACATTTGCAGTTTCCCGTGCATTAGGAATCACCATGACAAC